ACTGGTCAGATATTTTGTAGAATATCCCTGAACATGGAATGTTTTCCTCATGATTAGACTGGAGCTATGGATTTTGGGGGGAGGACTACAGAGGTAAAGTGCCATTTTCATCATCTCAAATCAAAGGTACACACCATCAACATGACTTAAATCACTATTGAAGCTGACCCTGATCACCCAGCTGAGGTAATGTCTGTCGGGTTTCTCCACTGTAAAGCTTCTATTTCCTCCCTTTTGATACTGTCCTCTCTGGAAGGAGGTCACTATGCACAGCCCACAGTTAAGGAGCAGGCATTATGCTGGACCTCTTTGAGCAGTACATATATAAATTATTTGGACTTGTTCTGTAAGGAAGATTTGCCTCTTCTCATTTATTTATTCAATCATTTATTTATATCAGTATGGACTTATGAATATTTACTTTATACTTTGGGTTATAATCCAGCGTTTTGCTGTTCAGACTGTTCCATCTTTGGCCATTGGAAGTTCTTTCAGTTGGCTCTTTGTATCTCTTTGACATATCCCCATCACTGTGGGCTCATCTGAGCACTTACTTTCTAGTATACAAGATGCTCCAGGCTCATCTTGTATATATCCTGCCCTAGTCACTCCAGACCTAGAGTCAGCCATCTCTCCCAGGAGCTCTGTTCTTTTTACTGGAGAATGGTATTAGAAGCCATGTTCTGGAGCTAGATGTACTCACTGCTACTGGTACACCTAGGCTCTCAGCTGACAAAGCAAGGAAATAGATATGTGTATACTAACCCAATACATATATTTCTGTATATAACCATCTATATCTATATTAAGCTAATCATGAGTTCAACTGATGTCTTCAACTCAACTATTTCCAATTATTTCCATTATTCTGTCAAAATAATGCCCTAGCTATTTTCTAGCCTAGAAGCTAAGGGAACACTGGAAGCCTCTTTTAATTACTAAATCAACTCTAGGAATAAGCTTGACTAAATTTCCATCTGAACCTTAAGCACTGGCTCAACAATCTTGGAGAAAATGATACCAACTCTCAAGATGAAAGGTTATCTTGCTTTAAAACCAATTATCTTACCATAGGAAATCCATTTTAAATTGTGTTCGTCCAAGAACAGCCCATAACTTTTGTTTGTTTGTTGTTGTTGTTTTGGTCTTAGGTTAGAACATCCTTTTTGCTAAGTGGCAATCACTCTCTTCAAAACTTCCTCAACAAGATCCAAATGATACAGCCTTATTATGGTGACTAGTTTAGTGGACATCTGTTGTTTATGTCTGCCCAGCCTGCATTCCACCCTCCTCCGGCAGTGGCACACCATTCTTTTTTGGACTACTCCAATCCATTGGTCTTTGTAGGGGCTGCCAATCAAGGGGCTCTGCCCTTCCCTGGCCAAAGAATTGAAACACATGACCCAAACAAGGCCAATTAGACACTCTCCTAGCATCTCTAGACTAGGAATTCCTCACCAGCAGGGACAAGGTTTTGTCTATCTCTGTGATGCCTAGCACAGTGCCTGGTTATGAATATTCAATGCATGTGGGCTGAATGAATTACAAAGAAAATCATGTACCTTAAACAAATGCTGAGCTAAGTCTATCATTTCCCAACAGAATTCTGGATGGGGAGCAAATTGTATTATGTTTTGTAAGGGAAATGTCCACTTTAGTAAGCTAGGAAATATGCACTGGAAATAGAATCCCAAGTTGCCATTTTTCAGTGCATTAAAGATGTCAATCAGTCCAATAAAATAAAGCCCCCAAAAAGACAAAAGGAGAATTACCTCATTACCTCAACATCTGCTTGAGCATAAGCAATCGCACACGGGCTAATTTTTTTTAAAGGGACATAATATAACTTTCTAGAAAGACATAATATAGCTAATTATACTATTCACTAGAAGGGAACATACAATGTTTTGAAGTAATTTAGAAGTGGGTGTGATTTATAAGACGTAGAGCTTAGGGAATGGTAAGTATAAATTAGAGATTGTTCATATTATGACAGACTCCGTGATTACATTTCACAACTTTTATCAAAAGCAAACTTATTCACCACACCACTAAAGGCTTCATATTAGGGAAGGCTGCTGTCAGCTCTGCCATTTAGAGTAGATGGGAACCTTCTTTCAGAACACCCTCCTATGGGATGGGTTCATATTTTAGACTTAAAACACACTAGGGAAGGAACAATATGATGAAAACTAAATGGCCAATAAACATGTTAAAAGGTCACTAATAATCAGGTCAAGCAAATTTTTTAAAGGTGCTATTTTTTTTCATCAGATTGGCAAAATTTAAGCAACCTGTCAGGTGTCAAATTAGTAAAGACTGCTGTTGGTCAATGTTGACCAGCGTGTGGGAAAATGGACACTGTTGGGGGGAAAGTGAACTGGTACAGCCATTTGGCAAGGGGGGCACTTTTCCAATGTCTAGTAAAAAGTTATGTGTACATGTCCTCTAATCCAACAGTTCCATTTCAAAGACTATATCCTAGAAAAAACATTGTAATTGCACAAACTGACTTGTATGATTATTTGATTAATGACTATCTACTAGACAAGAACCCTGTCTGTCTGGTTCACCATCTCTTCCTCCAGTGCCTAGCACATGGGCCTCACATACAGTAGGTGCCTGATATTTGTCAAAGGAGTAAATGAATATGTTTACTTAGCATTAAAAAATAAAAATAGAATATTTAATCAATAATGATTCTTCCTGTTCACATTAAATAGGAGTGGAATTATTCACAATGTTAACAGGCAGTAAAAAATATTATCTATTTTCAAAAATAAATCACACACACCAGCTTTCAAAATTGATCATAATATTGATAAGGGTCCAAACACCTAGTTGCCAGTTTTTCCACCTCAAATCTCTAGCTTCCCAGTTAGTTCTGAAATTTAAACAGCAATTAAATACTCTTGAAATAAGTCAATTGCTATCACAGTCTACAATCCACTGACAAATAAATGACCTGGTTTTGAGATGTATAAAAATCACACTGTGGGCTGAAAAAAATCCCAACACCTGTATAACCAGACTCAATATCCAGAAAGAAAGAAAGAAAGAAAGAAAGAAAGAAAGAAAGAAAGAAAGAAAGAAAGAAAGAAAGGTTATCTTCAAGAAACACAAATTTCAAAGTCTAACTGTTCTATTACCTTTGACATGCCTATAATGGAGGAAATATATCCTCTAAAAATACTAATGCATAAATTTGTTTGTTTTCCAGTATAACTGGAGAAAGAACTAGAAACTCAAAAAATCCTCCATTTTTCTCAGCTCTCAAATCCAACACAAAGATCTGTTCCAAAATCAAATATAAATAACCCGTGGGTTACCTGCACTGTTAATCTGTCCTTGAAATTATATACAGATGAAAAGAAGTGAAATTAAAAATTTTAACATTTTTTGAAAATTGACCATCCATCAAAAGAGCTGATATATCTGATGACAGGTATTACCAATAATGAAAACTCCCAACAGCCTAGAATATGAATGAAGAGTCTTTATGTTGGGGGTGGGGAGAGAAGGCCAGTGTTACTTAGAAATAAAATACTAATAAAATCCAGCCCCTCACTAAAACACTTGAGAAATTCCAGATAAAGGCATTTTGCCCACCTACTAGATTTACTGACCCTTGTGACTTTATGACCTTAGGCTAATCTAGGATGGTAGTTGAAGCTACTGGGAAGACAAGAGCCATTAACTTTATCCAACACTGTCTAGATGCTAGATACCACAGAGGAATGTATTCTGTCCATTTTGGTGAGATTAAATGATTTCCCCAAGGCCACACAGTTACTGAATAGTCATGTTGAAATGTGTTTTCAGGAATGTGGACTTCAGAGGGATCCACATACCCTTATGAATGTATGTTTGTAGTTTCTAGGAGTAACAAGTCATAGTACTGAACAGACCTCATGAAATCATCTGGTTTAGCCTTTAGTCAAGTAAGGCTTGATTAAGCACAAGACCCATGGATGGGAAGACACACTTTCAAGCTTATAATAGAGTTGGTGAATTGAGTCAAGAGACATGAAAGAGCTGAGACCAAACACCCAAATTAGCCACAGAGCAGGGACCCTTCCACTATATGGCCATGCCATTAAGTTAGTCAGAAAAGCACTTTTTTCTACACATTTTTTACTTCCTAAATCTGTATGGTTCCTCTCTATAGTGACCCATATTCTCGAGCCACCTTTGGTCAGGATAATAATAATTTTAAATTTAAAAAGTGTTAGGTTCACACTTGATTGTTAAGGTGGCCTTGTTCAGAAGTGTGGTTAAGTGCTGAAAATGACTAATTAAAACAGTTCTTTATTAAGGGATTAAAACAGTTCTTTATCTAGTCAGTGTAGAAACGCATGCACACGGCCTGGCTTTCCTGCAAACCAGAGACAAGTTCTAATTCAAGAAGCCCCACATAGGCAGGGTGTTGCCTCACTGACTAATAAATTGCTAAAAATGGGAAGCGATAGAACACACCATAGCCTCAAAATCATAGCTGGGTAAGGAAAGAGGAACTAGGCCAAACCAGAATGAAAAGCTGGAAAGGCTGTGAAGCAGCGCCGCAGGCCTCCCAGCTTCAATGTGCAAGGGTGGGGCCAAGGCTAGGGAGCCAGGCCAGCAGAGCTACTCAAACCGCCCCCTCTCCAAGATGACTGGCCTCACCCGCGTCTCCCGCGTGTAAGGTGGTACCGAGGGCCCTTGTCCGCGCAGAATCCTTGTCCCTTCCCGAACCCTGGATCGCCAGCTAAATCCACCAGCGGGTAGCTATTCCCGCACTGCCTGGCCCGACAAGCAAGCACCCGCACGTTACCCTCTGCCCTGGGCTCGCCAAAGCGCGTAGGACGCGGAGGACGCTTCTCCACGGATACGAAGCTACTGGGGTGACCACGGCGGCCCCAATACCTCCCGCCCAGCTTCCACCACCCCAAAACCAGCGCCCTGGAGTGGTCTCCGCCCACGGGCCGCGGCTGCCCGCACCTGGCAGCCACGCGCCTGCCTACCTTGCTCCTTTAGACTGGAGATGAGCTGCAGCTGTTTCTCCTCGTCCGAGCTGTTCATTTTGGCAGGTGGGGCCGGGAATAAAAAGAAAGGAGGGAGAGGCGAAGGGTACAGCGGGGGAAGAGAGGAAGAAAAAGCAAGATGCCGGTGGCTTGCGCCTTCACTACCCGGAAGTTGGATTAGCTCCCGCTCCTCCTCCTCCTGGCGCGGAGCGCGCGGGTGAGATCATCCCCACGCACCTACTCAGCAGCCTAGACTTCTACACCTGCAGGCCGGCGGCGGGCGGGGAAAGGGGCGGAGACGGACCCGCAGCCCGGGGGCAGGAGGTGGGGACGACGGAGGCACCAGCGGAGGCAGCGGGGCCGCAACCTGAGCCCTAGCCTGCGGCTGCCTCTGCGACCTGGCTTCCTCGCCCGAGGCCGGCGCCGCAGGATGCGCAGGCGGAGGGCGTGAGGGCCTGCGCGAGTTCTCCCTGCTCGCTCCTGCACCCCCTTCTCCGCCTCCACCCACCACAGACACCAGAAGCGCGTTCAGGAGAAAACCTGCCGTGGGTCTGCAACCTTATGAGAACCCCACTTTGAACGCTACCTGAGGGCCTCTCCCCGCGAGCTGCCGTAAAGCGGGACGTAATGGGCAATAAACACCCAGGATTCTTCCCCAATTCTCGCACAGTGGACTCTGGTGGCGGTGCGAGGAAACCTAGGTGTCCACAGGGGCAGGCTCAGTGTACGTTTTGCGCCTTGAAAAGCACAAAGGTACTGAAACAGGCCGGCCTAGTAAACTACACAGTGATCGAAGGAGGGCGTGGTAGTCAGTTAACAGTCCCAGCTCCTGGGCTGGCTTCCTCCAGCAGCACTGGGTTTGAGAGGTAGTCAGAACTGGGCCCCGGAGCAGGTGGATCTCCGGACCTCACGAATCATCTGGTTTGCGGAGGGAAAATCTCTTTAGGGAGGAGGCCACTGCAGTTCGAATGCCCAAGGTCACACATCTGCCTGGCAGCAGAGCCTGGTGGAGTGAAGCCCAGCATTTGTCCCAATTCACTTTCCAATTTCCCAATGCTTTCTGCACTGTTTATACCCAGCTCTGGGTTACAGCCTGATCAGAAGAGGGGCGGCAAGCCTGCCAGATTTCAAAATGGCTCTCCCCAACCCCCAACTGCCAGACAGTCTTTGGTTAAGTCTCCTGACCTCTTTGAACTTCAGCCAAAAATGGGCATAAGTACTAATACGTACTCTCCTGAAAGAGCTGTAAGTGTTGAACAAGCAGAGGAAGATAAACAAAACACCACATCCAGAATTTGACATAAAATAGGTGTTCTTTTTAAAAAAAGGTTACAGGTGTGTGAAAAAGGGGTTGTGGATGCTAATTATAAGCTAAAATAGGCAGTTCTTTTACACTAGTCATTAAGCATACAAAATAAATCCAAGTTGAATTAGGCTTACTGCACATCTTGGTTTTTCTCACTACCTCAAAGCTCTTCCTGTGGGTCCTGCACCAGCACAGTGTTTCTGCTCATCCCTCACGTGCTGTTTTACGTAACTGCCCAACTCCATTTACTGAGTTGGGTCTCCATGAAAGATGGGGAAGGGGAAGCTAGAATATAGGTACATGCTGTAACCATATCTGTCCCATATTCCTACTAAATTCTAATTCAAGACAAACTGAAAAAGCAGTAGTACTGCTTCCTCTTCCTCTAAAAAGGCAATATAATATTTTAGCATCAGTGATTTAGTGGTAGAATGAATGATCTAAAAGGGCAGCATCGTGTTTTTAAATAGAGTAAATTAAAATTTTGAAACTTTAAAAATAATTTTGGTATCTTATAATTTAATCCTTTCCCTAGCTTTTCATAAGATAATTCAATACTGTTGGAGATCAGTTGCCATGAAGATCCCCCCAAAACAACCAAATGGCCTTTGCATTAAGATCACTTGAGATGATGTCTTAACCCTCGGAGTTTAAAGAAGGCCCAGGAAATGAGACAATTCAAACTCAACTATATGAAAATATGGATAATATGTGTTGCCACCAGGTATTTTGTATAAAGATAAATGATTTCTTTCCAGAAAAAAAATCAAGAGATTTGAGTAACAAATCATGGCTATCTAGCTTTCATACTGCAGCCAGGAAACCCATTGTATCTAAGCAGTTGCTCTGACTACTGGACAATGACAGAGGCCTCCTCCAAACCTAAATAATCAAATATTTTCTTATACTAGACCAAATACCAACAGAGCACCCATTAAATATTTGGGTTAGTTCACAGGGTTCCACTTTTTAAATGGCTGATTTAATTGTTTACTCCAATTATACAGTAATTAGGTACCACTTTTGGAGTTTGAGAATGAGTTAATTAATTATCAAATCTATAATCAAATTGAGTGCCTTGGTTCCACACGGAACCTGCAGCCCCTTGAAATTAATCCTGTTTACCTTCTTTGAAATTAAAATATCCTCCTGAAATACAATAGGGTATTATCTTGAGGGCATGGAATGAATTATTAGGATGGCCATTAGAGTCAATTATTGGCATTCAGATCTCCCATTACACTATGGTTTATTTATACGATATGAATATTGATGAAAAGGATAGAAGTGATAATAATTAGTTTTTGTTCTGTTTAATAAGGCACATAGGGATTTATGTTGCAGGCATCACAATGGGTTCATGAACCTTCATGTAACATGTAATTAAAAACCTTTAAAAATATGTATATACATACACTATACGGACAGTGAAAAGCGAAGGAGAGACTTTTAAAAACGAATTGAAAGGATATATACCATACTCAGGATAATGGCTGCCTCTAGGAGTAGAAAGTAGAGGAAAAGGCCCGAGGGGTGAGGAGTGGAGTGGGAGAGAGCAATGGTCAAAGGGTTTTCTTTTTTTTTTAAGTTTATTTATTTATTTTAATGGCAGTACTGGGGATTGAACCCAGGACCTTGCATGTGCTAGGCACACACTCTACCACTGAGCTATACCCTCCCTGTAAAGGGTTTTCTCTTTAATGTTTGTTTCTGTTTCCAGGAGATTAAAGTAAAACCACATTATTTATGTAATCTTTTGAGGCATATAGATAAATAAGATTGAAATACAACAGGAAAAAAAGTTTCATTTCCTTTGATCAACTAATTGCATATTAGGGAATCTACCCTAAAAGGCTTTACGTACAGAGCTATTTATTATAATATTAAGTATGATATAAAAATGATAACATTGGGACATTATTTAATAAAAAAGAAATAAAGTACTGGTACATGCTCTACCATGGATGAACTTTGAAAACATTGTGCTAAGTAAAAAAGCCAGTCAAAAAACATCAGACATTGTATGATTGCATATACCTAGAATGTCCAGAGTAGGCAAATCCACAGAGAGCGAGACAGTTGATTAGTGGTTGTCTGCACTGAGGGAAAAGGGTAAGTGGCTGCTAGCAGGTGTGGTGTTTCTTGTGGAGGTGATAAAATTTTTCTAAAATTGATTGTGGTGATGGTTGAATTGTGCATATATTTAAAGCCATTAGATTGTATACTTTAAGTGTATACTTTGCATGGGAGAATTTTGTGGTATGTGAATTATATCTCAATAAAGCTGTTATAAAAAAAGAGGTTTTCAGAGGAAGAAAACTTTCACTTTAATACACTACTTTCATAAGTCTGTTAAATTTATAAGTTTCTTATATAAACAAATATTTTTCCTTTTCAAATCTTTATATATAATAATTCTACCTTTTATTAAACATTATTTCATACATACTTCATCTTATACCAACACAATCTACATATTAACTCAATGCCACTCCATTATATCAGTGAATACTTAGCCATTCTCAGTCTTAGATATTGGAGCTGTTACTAGAATTTGTCTATATATAATGCAGCAGGAATTCAAGGACCATCTAGGCATATCATAGTCAAACTATTAAAAACTAAATATAACATTCAGGTCTTGAAAATAGCCAAAGAAAAATACATATTACACACAGGAGAACAACAATAAAAGTGATGGCAGACTTATTATTTAATGTGGTAATCATTAAAGGATTACAACAAAATACAACACTCAGTAATATAAAAGATACAAATAGGTTGAAAGTTAAACAGTGAAAAAATATTCCATGCAAATAGTAACCAAAAGAGAACTGGTGTGGCCACACTAATATCGACAAAACAGAATTTCAGTTAAAACCTGTTACAAGAGACATTATATATTCACAAAAGCATCGATTCATCAAGAATATATAACAATTATAAACATATAAATAGCAAACACACACTAAAACTAAAATACACAAAGCAAACATTGACAGAACTGAAGGGAGAAACATATCAACAATAATAGTTGGAGACTACAATACCTCCTTTCAATAATGTATACAAAATTTAGATAAAAGAGTAGTAAGGATAGAGAGGGCTTAAACACCACCATAAACCAAGTAGATGTAACAGACACATACAGAACACTCCAGCCAACAAAAAATTAGTCTCAAGAAATTTTAAAAGATTAAAATCATAATCATACAAAGTGTCTTCTTCAACCATAATGGAATGACATTAGAAATCAATAATAGAAGGAAATCTGGAAAATTCACAAATATATAAATATTAAACAACACCCTCTTCAATAACCAAAGATTCAAAGAAGAAATCACAAGGGAAATCAGAAAACACTTAGAGGAGATTAACAACAAAAACACAACATACCAAAACTCATGGGAGGCAATGAAGGCAGTGCTCAGAGGAAAATTTATAGCTGTAAATGGTTAACTTTACACCTTGAGAAAATAGAAAAAGAAGATCAAAATAAACCCAAAGTTAGTGAAAGGAAAGAAATGAAGATTAAAGTGAAGATAAATACAATAATACACAATAGAAAAACAATAGAATCAATGAAATCAAAAGTTATTTTTTTGAAAGTATCAACAAAATTGACAAACCTTCAGCTAAACTAAATAGAGATGATGCAAATAACTAAAATCAGAAGTGAAAGTGGAGACATTACTACCAATAATACAAAAATAAAAAGGATTATAAGAAAATAGTATGAATAACTGCACACTAATAAATTAGGAAACCTATTTTAAATGGACAAATTCCTAGAAACACACAAATTACGTAGACTGCCTTAAGAAACAGAAAATCTCAATAGACTCACAACAAGAAAGGGATAGAGTCAGTGATCAAAAGCCTTCGAAAAAAGAAAAGTCCAGGACCAGGTGCCTTCACTGGTGAATTCTACCAAATATTCAAAGAAAATTAACACCAATCCTTCTAAACTCTCAAAAAACAGAAAATTAGAGAACGCTTCCTAATTCATGCTATGAAGTTAGCATTACTGTGATGTCAAAGCCGGATAAAGACATCATAAGAAAAGAAAATTATAGACCAATAACTCTTGTGAATACAGATACAACAGCCCACAACTAAATACTGGCAACTAATCCAACAGCACATTTCAGGGATTACACAAC